CGGCTGCTTCTCCGCCATCCGCATTATTTTAAAGTTTCTGATGCAGTGTTTGTGTTGCGGAGGAAGATCAGCGGCGACTATGATGAAAGCCCCAGGTATGCCTGGGACGATGATAGCTAGGGCTGTGTTTGAGGCTAACACTCAAGCGTATTTTGCTGGCCTTCGTTTACTTTCTAGGTAGTAGTAGTACTACTACTACTATATACATATATATATATGTATGTATGGATGATTTCATTAACTCTGGTGGATCTTGTGTGTTTTTTGTTTCTTGTGTTAATGATGCTACGTCTCTCTGCTTTGATGTTTTCATTTTCTTTTTGTTATCGAAGGAAAGCATTGAGATACTCTCAAACATATATCATCTAGCTCGAGCTCGATCTCGATCTCGATCGTGATCGAGGGTTGTAGCAACTAATAAAGCATAAGGTAGTGCTATAATTTTGTTCATAAAATTCAAAATCTCTTGATCACAACTTACAGACTTATACTCCCCATCTCGGATAGTTTCAAACCTCCTTTTCTCTCTCAGACTTTTCCTCTTCCTCCTTCTCCTTCAGCTCTCATGTCTTAATAGCAAAAGATTTAAACTTATTTAAATTTTTGAAGAAAATTTTCATCTCTTTTGTTCCAACACATTTTTTTTATCACCTGTCTAGCTTTCTACATAAAGAGCTTCTTCCTGACGTTAATGTTAAAGTTTTTTTTTTTTATTAACCTGAATATCCAACCTGCTATGCGAGCCGACTAATTCTAGGACGACCACTTGCTTTGCATATAGCCTGGAGTCACCACATTTGAACCTCCTTGGCCAGGATTTTTATTCCTCTTTGGATTTGAACCTGAGACCTCTAGGTACTTTTGACATTTGGAGCCAAGTTCAAACCAATCAACCACCACCTTTGTGGTTTATCTGTATGGAATTTAATTTATAATGCTCTTAAAACGAACCATATTCCCAAGCTATAAAAACATGATTGAAGAATAGGATTCTAAGAATTCATAAAACTCATGTTAAATCCAACAGTTGTTGGGTCTTCTGTGACAAACTGACATACTTATAAATCCCCTTCGCTACACTCCCTTCCGACTAGTTGGCAGGTTTGAGGTGCGTTTTAGAATTTATTAAGTTCCAAAATAATCTTGTAAGATAAATAACTAAACTTGACCCATCAACAAGAAAATATATAATTAGAAAACGAACCAGATTTCGACTAAAATTGAATTGAATGGGAACAAATAATTATGACCTCCTTGTTGTGGCCCAAAAGAACAGTGGTGAGAAAGTGTGATGAGACAAGATTCATGGAATGATTAAGCATGACTGGTACCCTTGATGCAAGGTTTAACTCATGATGTGATGCAGAGGCAAATCATGCATATGGAGCCAGCAGCACAAACAGTGAAGAAGTTAGACTTGGTGCATATCACTGGTTGTCTCCATTGGGATCATTCATCGAGCAATTAGACCAGGGAAATTTATATCTGTAACCCATTAAGCTCCATTTTCTGTCAAATGCTACGATAAGTTGAGAAATTCATATGATCTAATGACTTGGGATTTGGGAATACAATACGTCAATACAATAAAAGATTCTGGGAAACTACTATACCGRAGTTAAGTTTTAGAAACATGCATACCTTTAGAGGTTGAAGTTTGGTGGTTGCTTGAGGACGATCTATTGATGTCACAGGAACACTTGAAGCACTAGAAGTATTTTCATTCGACCCTCGCATCTCTAATATCATAGCTTTCAAATCATCTACTTCGTTGCTAACAGCTTTATATGCCCTTTTCCATAGCATGTTCTCCCTATAACAGGGAGAGCGACTTTGCAAGACACCCCAAATATCTGAAGCTCAAACACGTAGCCTGTACATGTGAGCGCTACCATGTTTGTATTTTCCAATCACTTTTCTAAATACATCATCAGCCACGGCCCGTCAAGTAAACCCTTAGGAAGTTGAAAGTTAAGGTCTAGCATTTGTTCCTRTAGTCAAATAAATTATCACYAACGAATATGATAAAGATTGTGAAAAGTAATCTAAAACTGAAGTAAAACTAGCAAATGTAGTCAACAARTTACAAATATAACATATAATAGTGTTTGCAGCTTCCACATGGCATTGCCATTTTTAGAAAGAAAAAAAAACATGCAAGAAACAACTCCATTTGACTAGGTTCACGTCYCGACAAAGATTCCTGTAACAACCCAAATGTATAGTTATGTAAATACATATACCTATATTATATCGACTATATGAATAAGTACATTATAAGGAACAAGCACCTTTAATTCTTCACAAACTCGAGCATGCATCATCTTCTTGTATCACCTATTAGTCTTAGTTCTTTCACCGATTTTCTGAAAATGACATAAGGCTATAAGCTAGTAGTGGATAAATGGTGTGAGATGAGTACACAGTCAAATATTAAACCTACTGCAATACAACCTTGGATAATATTAACCACGATAAAACTAAGAAACTTCAAGTGATAACCTTATAACATGATGCAACATACCTTTATTTATTTTATTCTAGTTTACTTCAAGTATACCTCTACAAAATTTTGCAACATTCCTTTCTTAGTTGTCTTAACTTGATGCCATGGTATATCAACCGGACAATACTTTCCACTCCTTGTCAAAGATCCCATGAAATAGATCAAACATTAGTAGTTTCCTTGTCAATAGGTTGGCCATATTCACTGAATGGAACAGGAATACCCGGTAAGTGAGGGCGACAACTCTTACCACAGTAAGAGCTTACCAGGTAAATTGTTGCATACAATGTCGTTTTGATGGACTAAAATCTTACTCGATAAGTAAATAATAGTGTTAAAATTTACCTGTAAACACTTACCGGGTAAGTGTTTGGTAAACGGTTCCTTAATGTATTTTCCAAATTATTATGTTTATATTGTTTTTTTAATTAGACACAACAAA